TAAAAGAATATATATATTTATATATTTATATATAAATTCTATATAACTAAATTATACCAACGGCTGTATTTCGAGTCTTAATTGTTTGCCATTGGGTAAAAAGCTGTAAGGATGTACTGGATGTAGGACTCTGAGCCACAGTTTTTATTATTAGAGTTACAAACGCACTCACCCCCTTTCTTACCTTATTTAATAAAAGGAACTTCGGTAATTACCTTAGCTGGATAGAAGAGGTCATTCAAAGATGTTTGCAACTGAGGAATGCATACTTGGAATTGCTCTGGGTAGAGGCAACTGGTCACTGAAGTGCTACTGAAACACGGATATTTAAAATATTGCTGCAAGATGTATAATAACTGGAAATGTATGTTCAGAAGCACCACAATTCTCTTTGCTTCCAGCAGGCTAGTCTGTAAAAATACAAGAAAAATTCAGTCATAGTTTAAAAATAATGATTTGACGTCTTGTCTGAAACAGCAGTCCAAATGATCTTTTTTATAATCAAAGCACTAAGCTCATTACTTTTATTTGGGGACATTTATAACATCCCCCTATTGAATTTAAAATGTATTATTATTCAAAAATGCACAATTTCTTTATTTTCCTAGTTACACAGAGAAGAGATTGAAACTGTAAACATTCATGGAACAAGATTCATCATTAATGGTATGTATCTAACCTTGCCATTGGGTGTTGGTATAGCATATCAAAATATTAGAAAAAGCCAGTTGGCTTTTTTGGCACATGCTATTTTTTGCCAAATACTTTACATTTTTGGCAGAAGACGAGGAAACCTGTCATTGGGGTTTTTTATGCTCGATTCTGCTATGGGGTATGATATGAGAGCCAGCACTGTAGTTCAACTACTTCAGTTTTTTGTAACCATGTTTGACCTGATGTCAGAATCTGTATCCATGTAAGGAGTTAACTATTTCCATGTGTGTTTTGTAGCAGTAAACCTCATTCATATCTAATGGCTTGTGCACAGATAGTGGGCAGCCCTTGAAGCAGAAGGACTTCCAGCCATCTGGAGCTGGAAGCTGGCTAGAGCTGAAGCCCATCTTAGTAGGCTGGTGGCAGCCCTCCCAGAGGCGTAGTGTTAGCTTACAGCATCCAAATTAGGATGCGCCAGATTATAAAGCCCTCGGTTCTACGCTGATGTCTTCCCTTTAAATATGCTTTGCATTTTAAATCACCCAATCATAAAATGGAATGATTTGCTCTTTTAAGATTTGACAGTTTCTTGGAAAAAGGTCATACAAACTTTTTTTCCGTGTTGTTTCAGTTTCCATTAAACTAATTTACTTTATACATTGTTGCAGCCTGCAAACAAAGGAACATCACTAGATTGATATACACCAGTACAGTAAATGTGGTGTTTGGAGGGCTTCCTATTGAAGATGGTGATGAGGAAACTGTGCCATATTTTCCAATTGAAAAGGTATTTTGGTTTATTATATTTTCAAGTTTCCTCTTTGTTTACTTTCTTGTTTCTGAAAAAGCCTGGAGTTTTCATGCCCGTGTTTTGCCTGATGCCAGAATCCAAGTACAAGAAAGAAGAAAGAAAACTCTTTACACTCTTTGTAGATGCTATTCACAACCTTGACACATCAGTTTTATGTACATTGCAGTATATATTTCTTTGTTTCCTATCAAGGCCTTGATTTTGGAAAATAACTCATACAGTGTCCCGTTAACATTAATGAAATTCCACCTGGACATGGGGATTGTGTTATATGGCTTTTATTATTTATATAATAATTTATTATTTATATAATTTTTCTGCTTCTTCCTTATTGAAGATGACATATATTCAATGTAGAGCTGATACGGAAAAGCAGCCTATTTTTATACGGTTTTATTGCATTTAATTAAAAAGGAGAAAGTACTTCTGGGTGTTTTGCATACACGGTTGTTTTTTGTGTCCCTCCTCTCTCCATCAAGTACTTCACAGTCTTTCAAGAAGTAGAGATGGATAGAGAAAGTATTGAATAATATTTTGAATAATATATTATTTTCTCTGGGACAGTGCCACAAGAAAGTGAACAGGATAATTCAGACCAATCATAACGTCTTCAAAACCTGGCTTTTGACTTTTCTGTTACCTGAAAAAGAAATCCAGATCACAAAGTGGTGATCAATTACATTCTTGACAGCATTCAAAGCATACACGTATTTATTGCTTCTCAAATGTGCTGAAATTAATTAACTGGATTTGCATAAACAAAAATGTTTGCTTACCTTAGCAATATGCATGTGTTTTATCCTAAACTAATACCCCACGGCCTCTCTATTTTGAGGTATTTATTGCCATCTGCTAAGTAAAAACTAGTGGAGAAGAGATGCCCCTCTGCTCTGTCATTTCAAGAATAGATAAAAACTTATTTGCTTTTTCTCTGTAGCATATTGATCATTATTCCAGAACCAAATCAATTGCAGAACAAATGGTACTAGCAGCTAATGGAACTCCGCTAGCAGGTACTTTTGCCTTAGCGTGAATTCATAGTGGAATTTACTTCTCCTCTTCTTGTTCCTCACTAACATCTTGTATCCTGTATCAATCCTTAGTGGACAAGATTGTCCAGCAATTATGAAATCAAACTATCTACCCCCTCTCACAAACGAAAAGATTTTAACTTAAAAATCACTTTTAATTGTTTTTAAGTTCCCACAGTGTCTGTAAAAGGTTTTAGCATGGTAGCAATGAGTTCAGTATGTTAATTGAAAAGATGAAGACAGCTATAAATTAAACAAGATAAGTAAAACATGAATGCTGATTAAATTGTTAGCCCCCCCCCCCCTCCCCCCGAGTTACATATTAAAATCTGAAGAAGCCACCTGATACTACAGCCTGGAATTATTTATTAGTGCTTCCCAAAGTTTTCCATGTTGAGGAAGCCAGTTATACACTTGAATACTTAAGCTCACCTGTGAGATACTGTAACTGCCAGTGCAAAACAAATTAATGTAAAGTGCAACATGATTCTATGTGACCAAGTGATACTGAGCTAAATTTAGCTGTAGACAACTTACAGATAAGAATCTCTTCACCTAATACTTGCAGAGGGCTATAAAGAGATATAAAGTCATTGACAGGCATTCTGTTCCAATAGAATTAGTTTAAAAAATAAAGGGTTTTTTCCTTATTTCCTCTTTTCTCAGCAGCTCTTCACATCAAAGACCCTCTTCATTTTAGGAGCAACACACAGTTCTGCATTTCTCAGTTAAACTAGAATGTCATTGTCCCAAAGATCCCATTTTGATCCTGTGCCATAGCAGGATTGAGTATTTTGCATGTTTTCAAGTCTATTAAGAACAGTTATTAGCAGATGATGAACCAGCCAATTGATCTACTTGGGAAGGGATTGGATTTTTATGATGGCCCTTACTTTCTCCCACTGAAGTTATCAAGAGCTTCTACAGCAGTTCTAGTGGGAGCTGGCTGTGCCTACTGAGAAGCCTTCAGCTCTATCTTGTACTGCTAGTGAGTCACTGTTTCCCATCAATAATTTTATATATTAGTTGGTTTCATTCCACTTCCTTACCAATAACTTGCTCATTTCAGCAAACTCATCATCACAGTTGGCACATTCATTCACTGCTTTGGCACAGAGACAAAGGACTGGTTAGAAAGAGGTTTTGAAATATCTGGTAATTTCTAGGAATCTGACTATGCTGACAGGGCTTCTCTGAATCTTATGTTGCTATTTGCATGTTCTGCTTCTGCCAACTTAATATCCAGCTACTAATTCAACACCTTTTGCTGTGTATTATCTTTTAAGATGGTGAAGTTAATTTTTTTCAGAGTAAGTTCCACTATCAGAGTCTTTGGTTCATACAAAAAAAGATACAACGTAGTCATGTGAAAGTCACTTAAGAATGGTCTTACCAATTCTTGTAGGAGGTGGAATACTCTACACGTGTGTTCTTCGCCCACCAGGAATCTATGGACCAGAAGAGCAAAGACACTTGCCAAGGCTAGCAGTATGTATTTTAATTTTTTAATCAGCAGAATTTTCTATGATATACAACTGCATCACTTATTTGTGTTATAAATTGACTGACCTTCTTATTGCGCAGCAATTCATCAATTTAATTGTCTGTTGAGGATATTATAATTTTTGTTAACAGGCACTATAATATATCTGTAAAGAACGTATAGTACATTAAAAAAGCCTTTTTTTGAAATACAAACACATGTAAGTCCAGCTTTATGATTTAATGCTTACTATAATTATAAGATTCAGGCCAATCTATGATATTTCAAATGCCTGTCTGCATGCAGCTTACAGCAAATGGTTTAAAATATTAATGAAAAGAGATGCAGCAAAATATCTTATTTCCAGTCTCAAGTATTAACAGCTTTCACTATCCAATGAAACAAGTTAAGGGGTCGGAAGCACCTTCTGGTACAATAGGTTACTAAAGGGCAAACAGCTGAAGTGCTCAGGTTTTACTCTTTTTCACTTGCTGTCTTTTAAACTGTAGGACTAGTACAGTGTTTAGAATGTCATCCCTGTATTTTAAAAGCATCAGTACAATATAAAGTTACGCACAGCTTTGAGGAAAAAATAGATTCAAGTTTACCACATAATAAATTTTTTTGGTTTGTGGCTGAGGTAGGGAATTATATTGAAGTCAGCCAAAATATACTTATCAACTTCTAAAAAACCTAATTTTTAAGAATGGCAAATGTCACTTTAATTAAACGTGAGATGTTTTCTTTAGCCCCTGAAAAAAATACAGTCTTTTAAAATTTCTACTTAAGATTTTAAGCTTATTTGCCCATTTTAAGGCATTATGCAACTGTCACATTTTGCAGTTTCTAAAATGTACCTGTTAAATGAAAAATGTGACACCTAGCATTACTTTCCATTTTTTCCCAGCCAAAGCTATTTGTTAAATTTTATCCAATTTTGTGAATACTTTTGATCCATTCAGAACTGTATCTTACCTTTCCACATCATATTTTACTTATCCTTAGAATAGACTTGTATTTTTTGTAAATTCAGGACATATGGTGTTCAATACGTTCTTCGATCCTTCCTCATGAGCAATGTTTTTAGAGCCCTCTGCACTTCTCTTGATTCTTTTTAATTGATTCATGTATTTTTTTTTAAGTAGAGACAAACCTACAATTAGCTGGAAAAGAAAGTGCACTGTACCTCATTTTAAAACCCATTTTGCTTTGGTTTCATGTTTGTTTATGTCTACAGAAGAACATTGAGAGAGGGCTACTTAGCTTCAAGTTTGGGGATCCTTCTGCTAAAATGAACTGGGTGCATGCAGAGAATCTTGTACAAGCTCAAATTCTAGCTGCTGAAGCTCTCACCCCTGAAAAGAACTACATAGCTGTAAGTAAACAATAAAAGCACCACAGTTTTCATTTGACAGTGGATCCTGCCACTATTTCCTGTACTATAGTAATTACTGTAGTAGCAGTAATTAATATATGTGTTATTGTCCTTTAGCTTATGTTGCTGTCTCTGTTTTTATTTGACAAATGTGCTATGAACAGTATGGGACCTGGCAGCATTGGCTGTGCAGTGTGTTAAAAGTTGGAATATTCAGTTCTGTAAGAATATCTCCATCTTTGCATTTTTGTAATACAATATTTGCCATTTCTGGAAGATGACCAAAGATTGTTTGCTATGTCAGAAATGAAACTGGAAGTTCAGGCAGATTCATCCCCTGTTCCCCTGTATATAGATCCAGACTTAATATTCTGAACTGTGATAATCAGTTCTTCCCACACCATATGCAAATAAAAGCACATTTTATTTGGGTTCATTGATTTACAAAATATTTGCAACTGTTTTCCTCCTTGTAAACACCGTTTTTTATTTAACCTAGAAGCATTACCCTTAAAGTATGTTAGAAAGATTTTCAAAGTAGATTAACCTACTTTTTCTAAAACCCTAAAAGCAAAAGGGAAAGAAGTAGCTTATGCCTTGGTTACATAGATGGAGTCTTACAGATTTCAATGAGTCTTAACTAGACTGAGAGCAGAACATGTCCCACCATTTGGTGAATATGTGTTAACAGCACAAGTTAGATATGGCACCACTTTCAGTCCATTTGGTAATCTCTGTATAATCGGTATAGCCGTTCTGTGTAAGGCTGTAATAAATAAATTATACCAAGGCATGTTAATCACATAAACCACTTGTCCACCAATTTCATTGCACACATTAGGGCAACTGATTGAAACACATGTAGATAGTTTGTTGGCTTGTATGTACATCCATGCGTATTTTATATTGCTGTATTATTTTTAAGTTATTCGTAAGGAATGAGATAAAGAAAACAAGTCAATATATATGCTGTATTATTTTTACTAACTTGTCTCTTCTCTCCCTCTTTAACAGAGTGGCCAGGTGTATTTCATTAATGATGGCGAAAAATTCAATCTTTTTGAATGGTTAGCTCCACTTGTACGTACAAGATATACTTTATCTCCAAATACATTAATTTCTTTGACTGTACACAACTCCAGCTTTTGTGTGCATGTTACATTTGGTATGTTTGCTTTGGGTGTAAGAGTTCCGTTCTGAATGTGGCTTTAATTCCTGCTTGAAGTTCAGTGTGATTAGCACTGTTACAAAGCCCACCTAAAATATTCCATTAAAGCAACTGTCTTCACTGAGACCGAAGGACCATCTAAACCAGTATCCTCTTTTCAGTTGCCATTATCTTCATTTCTTGGGCATGCATCTGTTAACAGTGGCTATTTTGGGTGGACAAAAAATATAAATCCTAATTATTAATCTGTAATATACATTCTTTTCAAAAGATCATTTTATTATTAAAGATGCGCTCAAAACCATAAATATGCCACAATGTTAAATTAGGTATCAGCACACCATGACATTTCGATCGATTATTATAAACTTTATTTTCTTCCTTTTTTTAAGACTGCCACTTGAAACTTACATAGTGTCTGCATGTGATTTTTAACTGGAATCCCCTGAAAAATGAAAACTCAAATACTAAGAGCAGTGATGATATTTCCTGGTTTATCAGTAAATATTTCCACAAATATCTTCTGTATTGAAACTTTAACACTTGTTTGAGGTTTCTGGTTTTTTCACTGTTTTTTAAATTTCTTTCAGTTTGAAAGATTAGGTTGGAGTAAACCACGGATACGTATTCCTACTTCCTTAGTTTATGCATCAGGTAAAATATTTTATCAACATTTCTCTTTCCTGTCCACGCTACCCTCATTCCAAATTGTAATATAATGTTTTGAGTTTTTTTTAATTTGCCCACATTTTGCAGTTTCATGTATAAAAATAATATGCTGTGGGCTCATCTAGTATGCGGCAGTAGGGGGTGAAGTTCAGCTCTGTGCAGTGTGTTGAAACCAGAATGATCTGTTATTTCAGTAAGTCCCACAAAAACAGGTTTTATGTAGGACTTAACAGATGATTAACTTTGTGGAGTTAATGGTACGAATATAAAAAGTTAAATGTAAAAATCCATGACTTCATGAAATACGCTGAAGAGTATCTGCTTTGCTGCATGGGTAAATTTATCGTTCTCCTATATCCCATGCTCTCTCCAGAATCGAACCCCATGTGCAGCTAAGACAGAATCCCACTTTGAGTATTTTGTTATTACTACATTTTTTATGAAGTCTCATCATCTTTTCACTAGATCTGTCACCAACCCTCCAAACCCTTTTCACACAAGTGCCATAATTCAGGTTGACTGAAGTATTAAGATTAAATCCACCCCCTTGTGAGCAGGTAGTCCTGTTGATGTTAGTAATGGTGCCCTGAGCTCTTAGGCATGCGATTATCCTTCACTATCATATACAGTGCGAGATATGCCAAAATCATAATGGCATAGCGATGTACTATTCTTACCTCAAGTAGAAATCTTTTGTTATGCAGCCATGATAATGGAATACCTTCATCTGATGCTGAAGCCATTTGTTGAACTGTCCCCACTGCTGACCAGAAATGAGGTAAAGTCTTTGTAAACTCCCCTTAATTCTCACAGGATGCTTACATACATGTTAATACTGAGGTACAATTTAAGATTAAGTCAGTAGAAAGTATAACCCACCCAGTACTACTTCAGCGTCCAGTTTCCAGGGCAAATATATGTGTCGTACATTTTAGGCAATATATTATGCTCGTTACCATAATCTTTGAAAAGGTAAGAGCTTATGCTTGCAATCTGGGAGAGGCTGCTTCAGCTCCTTCCTTCCAAGGCCCAGTATCCTGTATGGCGTTGGCTGGTCACTTGGGCCCTAATTCCTGAAGGTATTTAGACACTTAACAGGTGGCTTTTATCTGCCTCCTTAGATACATAAACAAGAGTGCAGAACATTTTTTATGGATGTTTTCAAGACTAGAAGATTCTGCTTTGCAGCTTTTACTGCCTCTGGGCTTTCAAGATTCTCCTTTTGAGTAAATAATTTTAAAAATAATGTGACATATGTCAATAGAACATTGATATAATGTTTGGGGGGTATTTCACATTTCCTTTAACTGTGTCTTTGCTACCATTTACAGACTTTGTTCCAATTTCCTCTGTATTCATATCTTTGTATGTTGACTTTTTTGCCCTACAGGTACAGAACATTTCTATAACTCATACATTTCGAATAGACAAGGCACGGAGTCAGCTGGGGTACAGCCCAGAGAAGTTTGCATTTGCTGATTCTGTGGACCATTACATTAAAACCAGACCAGAAGCCCAGAATCATCATATCTTCCTCAAAGTTTTGCTTTCTGTAATTGTTAGTTTAAGTTTGATCATTCTTTCTTTAAGATTTGATGGCCTTTCAGTTTTGCATTTTTTTAAAGAAACACAACACTGACTTGCATAAACTGCACATACTCAGTCACAGTACTGCTACCTGGATCATTCTAATCTCCACAATAGTTCCTGGCCCCAATGCCATAAACAGGCAGTTATTTTCAGATTTAAGAACAAAATTGTAACATATCAGTAGCTGTACTTGAGAAATTAAAATACAGTAAACAATTACGGCCAAATCACTGAAACACACTGGAGTCAAGATTGTAGCCTCTGTTTATCTCACACCAAAAAAACAACTTTCCAAACTGATTGCTGAAGGAAATGAAAGAGAACCTGCAGAAGGAACAAGAGCTACAGCCAGCCTGCAATCCTTCACCAGTGAAGAAAAATGGCTAAAATAAGGAGAAAGATTGACCACAGCTGCTGCCATGGCTCACTACCTTGGGGAACTGAGGAACAAGCAAAGGGACAGACAGAAGAGATTACTGTAAATAACACATACCAGCCGTACAAAGAGAGTTCACATTGTGTGAATTTTGTTTCTGAATTAGCTGTATCACCACATATGAGGGAAAATAAAAGTGTACTGGAAACTTTGCTGAAGTCAGCCCTGTGCCGCTGTGCACACACTGTTCAGCACCGCTCCCTGCCCTACCCCTGGGGTGCAGAGCCACCTGCTACAGCACCTCGCGGCAGCTTGGAGGCCTAGGGCGTATGTGCAGGTATGGTTTTTCACGAGTCAAAACTGTGTATTTTAGTTAAATTGGAAGTTATTAAGTTACATCAGTTAAGTGAATTTATGTCACAGTAGAGGAATCTGCCACTACGGGTTGCACTAATCTTTGTACTGCTTCCTTTACCTCCTGTAGTTAGAGGACGACAACTAACAATACAGTTTACTTGCTTATCAGCTGAACTTTAGGTACAACTGTTTCAGCACCTAATTTCTAAAGTATAGCAGTTGTACTGAGCAAATCCCTGCAATAGCTAACGTGAAAAAATGTGCTTTTTGAATTACTGTTCAGCTAAAATGGGCTAAACAGCAGGAGGTCTGGAAGGCCCCCCCCCCCCCCCCCTGCCACTCATGCTGGCGATTTACCACAGACATCTCACTCCCATCTGCACCTTTTCCAGGCTGTAACATGGGGAGGGAACAATCAGGAGCGCGTTGCGAGCAGAAAGAGTGAGCTTGGGAGACAGTACCAGGGATGAGACGGGAGAGCTAGAGGAATCGGGCGGGGGGAGGAATCAGAGATGGATTCGAGAATTCTGGAAAAGCTCAGAGCGCCTCAGGCCGGGGCCGGCAGCAAAGGCCGGATGCAGGGCCTGCGGGTTGAGGGTGCAGTAACTCGAACACAGCACGGGGAGGCAGAACTACCGAAATTAGTATTTCTGATTTTAAGTCAAAAGACACGCAAGG